ATAATATTCATAGGTCACCTGAAAATAAGAATCATTATGTTTTCGTTACCTTAGAATGAGCTGTTTTTATCTGCAGATGCCACAAGTTGCCTTACGTGGAGGTCGTCATTGTTGAACCGCCATGTTTCTACAGTAGCCCAGAATGGACAAACCAAATTGTGGCTCTAGATAGAGCATTTTGCCCTTTTTTATTTGCAGGTTTCACGGTCAGCGTAGTTTCTCCTACACACTTCACAGGCCGTTCTCATTCGCAGGTCCCAGGTACAGACGCCAGCAGCATTCAATTAGCTGCAATCTGCAACTTCACCACTAGATGCCACTAAATCCTACACACTGAACCTTTAACTGCTCTCAGCCCATTTTAGGAGAAGAATTGTAACAAGAAGTAGCCATTGTAAGAGTTAAATGTTGTGTGTGAGTTTGTGGCTGAGAAACGAACCACTTCTACCAAATATGTCAGGCTGAATCACAGAGAAATGTATTTATAATGCTGCAGAAAATATTGAATTTTACATTAGTTGTAATGATTCTGAATTGGATGTGAATATTTCACTATAAAATGATCATATTGTAATGTTATTGTGCATCAAGTCCACATTATTAATGAAGAATACCACCACATTATATTAATACCATGTATTGATATTAAGGTGTGGCATTACAGTATGTTATGTATTTATGTGTATTTCCTGGTGTTAATACCTAATCTAGTTTGAAGTTGAGGGACATTTTTAATAGAACATAACGAGGCTCCGGTGTACAAGTTTAGTCTCTCACTCCCTTGTAGTTGCAGTTACAATACTGGGTGTCACTGTGCAGTAGGTTACAACCCCACAGTGACAACAGGAACAACCTCTGGAACACAAAACACCTCTTCACACGACATTACACCCCCGCATGCTGTAGTAGGGACTCCTCGACTCCCTCTCCGTGTCCCCTGGAGGTCTCCGAGCCCGAGTTTCAGATCATCCAGTAGGTCATATGAGGGGAGAGGAGCGCTTTGTGGTTTGCACTGAAGAAAAAGAGGAAGGAGGAGGAGGAGGAGGAGGAGAGCAACGGAGGGAGCAGGTCTGCTTGGGCGGGGTTTCCCTCTTATTTCAAGGCACAGAAGAGGAGCGGAGCGGGGAGAGTACGGACCCGCTCCAGCTGCTGCACGGGAATGTCGCCGTAGTCGAGGCTGGTTGCGTTTTCGCTAGCTTGACGATATTCTTCCAGTCTCTTTTTTTTTTCTTTTCTTTAACATCCTCGTTCTCCCCCCGTCCTCCTCTCGCATTGTGACCACGTACTGGCTGAGGTAGTAGTTTGTGCTGTTGGTTGGGTTGTGACACTGCCCGCTATGGAGATGACTGCGCAAGCTACTGCCTTGCCAGTGCTGGTGCCTTCACTTCCAGCCGAGGGAAGGGGAAAAAAAAGAGCTCCCCCCTGCTCTTCAACGCTGTTATACGGTTTTAACAGGTAATGCACACTGCTGGAGTGACATAGCTACCGTGTTCCGTTTGAAGCTGCAATGTAATGCTTGTAAAAGGAAAAATGGCTTGTGGTTGCATTGTTGCATTTTGAGCTGAAGCCGTTTGAGAACTGTATCATGTTTCATCCAATAAAATAGAGAATAACTGTGGGGGAAAAGCACTTTGCTGTGTGTAGTTTGAATTTTTTGCACTGCTGATGATTATTCATTGACATGCGTTTGATTTTTTTTTTTAATTGGTACCATAATCCCCCCCCTTTTTCTGTATTTGCAGGATGGAGGAGGAAGCTTGCTTGTGTTGGATGGAAATCCGATATGCAAGTTTTTAAATAATTTGTATGCACATTTTTAAAATGCACGAGGAAGTCGATATCTGCTATGGATTTGCATAGTTTTCCACCACCTCAGGCGGAGTGGGCTGTGCAGAAAGCATGTAGGTCAACAGTACTGTTGCTATGAGGAGAGAGGAGTGACGTGGCTCCTGCTGCCCACAGAGGTATCCTACAATACATCTGCTCTGACACACAAGCTGGCTTTATGGTCCTCCCCGACGTCTTTTGTTGTTAATGCTGCATACCGTCAGACACTGGGGCAGATAGCGTGTGCTCCTCCTGCACCTAAACACCCCATCTCTGCAGGGCAGTGCTGCTGGCACTGTTCACCAAATAATCTGATTATTATGCTAAATCTGGATGGTGTGTGCCTCAGTGCTCGAACTCTGCACAGACAGACGCAGCACATGACCTAACCCCCACCCCCCACCCTCCACAGGCGTTTCAGCAGTGGTGTCCTCACTGAAGTCTGGGAGCGCAGCCCTGATGTGGGTCGTGCGTTGTGAGTTAACCTTTTGAAATCCTCCCTCTGCTGCTGCCTGACAGCATCTGGTTGCTCTGTATCACATTAGTATGGGCAGTCAGGGGTCTCGTGATGGGGGTGGGGACCGGAATGGGTAATGAGCTTTGATTGGCTGCAGGGGCCAGGCAGCCCGGGTCGATGAAACCCATGCAGGGTTTTCCAGTCTTGTGCTCTCAGACCCCCACTGCCCTGATGATGATAGCACGCCGCTCACTCAATGACTGACTGACTGAACATTGAATCCTGCGTTTGACCTTCCAAGAAGACTCATGAAATATTTATGAGTTCACACTTGATAGTGTGTTAGGCAGAGTTATGTTCATCTTGGGCCACAGCTCTTCCCACTAGCATCTGTGCTGGTATTAAAACAATAAATTTTACTCCAGCTCCTCATTGTAGAGATAGACGTAGGTTGAAAAGGGGGTGCTTTTCCTTTTAAAGAGAAGAAGCGAGCTAGTAAACACACACAGGAGAACTGTTATTGTCAAGCCTGTTGAGTAGCAGCCCTACAGGTCTGCATTAGATGTATTCAAACAACTGTCCGTCTCGTGTAAGAAATTCAAGTTATCCAGCCTCCGGGGTTAAACCAAACATCATTTATCATATCCTGGCTGTAAAGAGAGCCAGCCTATGGATCAGTGAGCAGTGCAGAGGCAGCCCATGTCCTTCTCATCCATCTTGTGTCAAAGCTCTCATTTGAGCCGGGCCGCAGATAAATTATACTTCAGGCAGCCAAAGCCCTAAAGCAGTAAATTAGAGCCCCCCTGTGGAAAATCGGCTTGCTCAGATGGGTATCACAGCTGCACCGTTGAAGCAGCCGCACCCTTGTCCTGACAGGACAGTCGACCCTTTTGCGTACTCTGTTTTCACCAGATACCTTAACACGTGCTGCTTCTGTAACGCAACATGTTTGGAATTAGTTCTGAAATAAATTAGTTGATTAATTGGGGAGTTGATCAACATTTTTGACGGTTTGTCAAGAAAAATGCCAAAAAAGTGGGATTCTCTTTGGGTTTTGGACTGTTTGTTGGAGAAGAGAAGCAACCTGATCATGTCATCCTGGGCTCTGAAGAATTGTGATGGTCAGTTTCGCATTTTTCTGACATTGTATGTAATAAATGATTAATCAATTTGAAATCAACAGAATAATCGCCAGCAAGAAGAGCTTAAACAATTGCTCGGTTGCCAGGAAATGATTTGGCAACTATTTTAATAATTGATTCCTCGTTCAAGTCGTTTTTCAAGAAAAAGTGCCAAACATGATTCTTCCAGCCTCTCAAATGTGAAGATTTCCTGCTTTTTTTCTTGTCTGCCATTATAGTAAACTGAATATCTTTAGGTTTTGAACTGCTAGTCAGACAAAAAACTATTATTTAGAAAATGAAAAACAAAGATCGTTAATAAAAATTATCATTAGTTGGTAGTTGGTTTGTTGCAGGTCAAAAATAATATAAAAAAAATAGTATCTTTTCACTTAATCCTCTCCTGAAAGGAGGCTTGAAGGCGGTGGCCCCAGCAGCGAGTCACCTTTCCAGTACAAGAGATGAGTATTTCACTGCAAGCCCACTCAGCATCTCCCTCTGATCTGTCCACGGGTGGGGTGGGAGTGCTGCAACCTTGGAAAAACAAGCCACCCACAGGAATGACTGTGTCATCATTGCCGTCATCCAATCTGGACCACACACACACACACGTGTGGAGAGTAGGAGTGGAGTGCCAGATCAGTTCTGGCCTGACTGGAGGAGGATGCGGCGCTGGCCTGTGGGGACCAGATGGCCCTCCAGCTCCTGCAGAGGACCCAGGAGTGTGAGACTCCCACTATAGCACATTATGATCGTCTGAGTGTGTGTAAAGGCATTCATAAAGATGTGTGTGGTGCTCGTATCTTAACGTGTGGGTAGGATAACAGGAATTGAACTAAACCTGAATTTGAGTTATAAAAGTTACTATTGTTGAACGTGTGTGTGGTCCAGAAACCTTTCCTGGCTTTGTGCTCCGTTATCAATCAGAGCATTTATTTATCCATCCTTTGCTTCTTGTTTACTTTTTTTAATTTTAGCTTTATTTCAGACATAAAAAAGTCCATATTCTGCTTTAAAAAAAGAAAAGAAATGGAAAATAGGAAATAAATGAAAAAGATACTTGCTAAAATAAAGAGATACAAATGAGGTAGAAATCTTACATCAACCAACAAAGACATGACATTTCAGTCAAAATTAGCTGTGCATATTAAGTGGTAGCACAGTTACAAAATGGTTTGTAAGGAATAAAAGAAACCAAAGGACACACTGTATAAGTCCTTTTCATGGGAGACATTTTGACATGTCTCAGTAGGAATAGCACAGGAGTAAGTGGTGAAATTCATGATGGCTGAATTCCATTTAGCTACTTCAGTTTCAGATCCCTGCTGTTGTGCAGGCTGAATCACTGTCAAACCATCATGACTTTCTTATTTTAACCTGCTATTGCTACAATTCCATCTACTATGAACTAATTTACTAGCTAACTCTTTTTGCAAATGCATAGAACTTAAAACTATCTGATAGTGTTGGACACATCACTGTCCCTGGCTGATTGAAACTCAATGTGTTTCAGGTTTGGCCATCTGTAAAACTGTTACCAGCATGAGTTTCACATTTTTAGTGTCACGTTATCTCTTATCAGTATGAGGCTATTTTGATCCATTTCTAAATAAAACGCTGGCGATTATCAAAACTAAGCTGAGTGATGCTGGCTTTCTGAAAGGGCATTAAAAGCTGATTCATACCAACATTGTGAGCGCAACGAGTTGTCGAGTGTTTAATGTAAGTTCTCTGGTGCCAAAAAGCGTCAAGTGTCCTTTCACTGCTCCACAATCCATCTCTCACTATGGAATGCATATTATTTCATATGATACCTCTGTCATGTCATGAACTATGAAAGATCCAGTCTTGTGGTTTGATTTCTATCTTCACTCTCTCAAGTATTTGATATCACAGCAGTTTCACTTAAGACTCAGGAGGTTATTCCTCAATGTACCACACCCACTCTCACTGTATTAAAGTGAAAGGTGAATTGAAATGGGGATGAACCTCTCATCTTTTTTTTTTTTGATCAAGTTATCAAGTTGTCTTTCATCACTTCGGGTTGTGTGTGTGCTTTAGAGTCAAATTACGCCCCTCACAGCAGCCTCTACCATGAAATCTTCTGTCAGGCTATTCTGTGAACTGATACCCTTCATCCACATATTGCTTTGGGACTCACTTGACACAGTTTGTTAGAGTGGTGATAGTCTTATTCTATACAGTTACTGGAGTGTAAGGGAGTCTGTCTGGGTGTTTTAACACAGTGCAGGCAGGCAGTGATGAAATAAGTATTCGGATCTTTTACTTTAGTAAAGGTTGCAATGCTACAGTGTAAAAATACTACTGATTACTTAAGTAAATGTACAAAAGTATTAGCATCCATATACTATACTACTAAAAGTACTCATGAAAAATGGCTAATTTCAAAATCATATATATTGTATTAATGGTCTAGCATTAGCGATGCTTTGTACATCACTTTAATGTTAAAACTGGTAAAGGAAAGGCTATTTGGATTCCATTATATACTGCTGGGTTACTTAATAATATACTCTGTGTATACATATATATACACAAGAAATACCTGATATCATTAATGTGGGAAAAAATGTTAAAAAGGTCAGAAATTGTCCATTTTTTAATAGAGCAGAAAAGTGACCATGTAAACCTTTTTTTACACTGTTCTAGGTTTCCAAAACAGTACAAATTATGTATTTTCACTCAGTAAGATGTACATCACTTATAGTAAAAGAAAGAAGTGTCCACTGAAAACGTTATTTACATTTTGCACATTGAAATTAAATTACTGTCTGTTCCATGTTTCACCAGTTCCAGACACTCGTACAGCAGTTAACATACAATATTTGTGCACAATTAATAGCAGCTGAAAACTACGACCTAAACCTAAATGAACCAAACTGTGGAAGACCACTGAATCAGGGAACAAAGATGATTGTAGAGAGACATAAGGTACATGTTTGTATAACTGTCTGCAATGATAATCTTGAATATACTGTTGGAGGCACCTGCTATTCATAAGGATAGGTTTATCTTAATAGGGACAATGTATCCAACTGATACTGACAAAAGGTAAAAAATTAGGTCATGGCAGTGGGTTTTTTCTTTTTTTTTTAGCATTCTACATATTTTCTACAACAGTATAACCTTCACACAGTTCCCTGGGAGGCTTTTTGTCTTTGCTCAGTGCTTTTCTGAAAACGTTTACAAATCTTGCAGATACACGAGCAAATCATACCAATGTAACTCTGAATAATGGCACAGGTAGCAGCTGATGATTCAGCTGACATAGCATGCAAACAGTCAAAGAAGACAAAGACAGCATGTGTTATGTGTAATACAATAAAAGGAAGAAAATTATGAGGTAGATGGCTAATGGTGAATGAGTGCAACAGATATTATTTTGGATACTATGTTATTACTTCTTAATTAATAATTATATAATAATAATTAACGTAAAAACTGGGCTAGATTTAATAGTATGATGAGATGTAAGCAGGGTTGAAGGTGACTCCTCATAGTAGTGTATTCTTCATAAATGTGTTCAATTTCAACAGAAGCAGCAGTTTTCCTTAATAGTAAGCACAGTATTGCAATGCAAGGGGTACAAATGAACCAAAATAGCAACTGCAGAATTAGGAGAACCAGGTGACGTACAATCTACAGAAAGCTTTTTTTTTTTCTCCTTTGGTAAAACAGACTAACAATTGCACATGGCTAAATTAAAAGCTCTACATGGGACAGAGGATGTATGATTCATATATGCAGGACATCAGTCTTCAGGTTTGTTTTTTTTATACACTGTACAGGTGTTCAACCAAACACACTTATTAAATGTCTTATGCCTGGGAGTATTTACATTTTCACATTTATAAATATTGTGCATTAGTTAGTAACAGCAATCCTGAGATGCACGTCACCATCGCATCCATGAGAACCCTTGCTCTCAAACCCTCTGGCATCACCCCACAAATAGATTCACAATGGCTTCCTCGAGATTGAATAAAATAAAATAAAATAAAATAAATCAGTCGTTCAACTCTTCAACAGTTCTTTTCATGATTCGGCTATTAACAGTTTCATTTCTATTAAAAAAAGAAAAGGGCCAGAAAAAAATATGATCATCCTGATTAAAGATGATCAAGGGGAAAATGGCCTGGACATAAATCCCAACTCTGACCAGAAACATCTTGGAACCCTCAGCGGAGTCCACACTAAAGCACTTTAAAAAGAGCACAAGGGATGAGGGAAACTGCAGAGGTCAAGTTGGGGGATCAAGGCAGGGTTATGTTTCAGTGGTAGTTGTCGTTTCCTAGCTTGGCTAGTTCTGCTTGTTGCCGTACATGAGGGGAATGATGTAGACAGAGATGTCATCTCCAGAGCCTAATCTGTCATTGGATATCCTCCAACCGCGGTCCTTCAGCACCCCGCGTGCTCTCATTACGAGGTCTTGAGCTGCCATTGTGTACCTGACATAATAAAAGTGATAAATGGTTAAGGCGTAGTCATAGCATGGTGATATACAATAAGATAAATGGTCACATCTGATAATAATAATAATGCACAGTATTTGACTTGAAGTACATCTGGCCACAACCAGATCGGGGGAATGAAAATACTGTGGTGAACTTTTGAAACCAAGCTAACAAGAGAAGTGTCAGAGCACCCAATTAATAGTCTTACAAGCTTTTCTTTGATATCAGAGACATTACTTATCTAATATTTGGAAATTTGCATAATTACAACAAGATAACAACGTTCATCCTCTACAAATAAGACAGGGGTGAGGGGAAGTTCAGGCACGACTGGCGGCTGCAGCTGTGTGATGAGTGAACGTGCCTGTGCTGGTCGTCGGGGTCGCAGTTTGCCAGGAAACAGGTGACTGCTTCAGCTACTTCCTGGTTAGAGAGGACGTCCCACAGACCATCAGTTCCCAGCACCAGAACATCGTCAGCCCCATGCTCGTACTGCGCCAAAGGGTAGGCTTTGACCTGAAGGTGAAGGGGAAAAACAAGGCAAAAGTTGAGAGGTGCATGGTTTCTAGGAATTATTTGAACCTTTTGCACGAAATCCCTGTGAAGATGTTACATAATAGGCTATTGCTGCGTATACACAATGCCCGAAGAAGAGAAAGAACAGGAAAAACACCCTTTATTCCGACATTCACATATTATTCTAAGGTGGTTAGCCCTTGTGTTAATCATCCTTGAAGGACATATTACTGTTGAATTTTTAATTGAAATGAGTACCACAAACAACAAAATAAATTTAAAATATAATTTTGTAACGTGTGTAACATCACCATTTAATTCCCATTTGTTTGGGAACATCTTCCTAATATATTCTTTTTCTAAAAGCAACTGCACACAGTGTAATAGCAAGCAAAGTATGGACTCAAAAAGAAAAAAAGAAAAATGCTATAGTTTGGTTGGTTCAACTAATTCCTTTGCTACCCTGGGGGAGTTGCCTGTTTACGCCAACTTACTGCAGAGACTACTGCGAAAAGAGCACACAATGACCACAGCGACCGTGAAATGGAATCAGAATGACCTCCGCATTGATCATGAGACTCCATGTTGTGGTAAACCTTGTGATTTAAGTCAAGCTTTGCAAGAGAGAAAAGGACTGAGGCTATCAATACATGAAAGAGAGGGCAGTTCCTAGAATCAATTTCAAAACAGGGATTTCAACAGCAACAAAACATCTGCGGAAGAGGGGTCATGACCAAATCATTTGATTTCCAACCCAATGCCCATATTTGATCTCATGATGAGTGTGATGACTCCAAGTGTCAAAGTAAGCTTTTTTTCTGAGACCTTTTTATTACCTGAGAGAAATCACTTATTTTAACTTTGCAAGAAGGTTTTTTCACAATCACTGCAGGGTGTTCTCCCACACATATGATTCCTTTATTAGTAATTGTCTATTTTTCCCCTTCATTTTAGCATCCAGCGAGACGTCTAACGATCAGGTTTGACATGTCGTACATATACTAATAACGTGTTTACACTCTGTCTGAAACAATAGAGACTACAAGCACCTCAAAGGAAAAAAATCTGAAAAGAAATACAACATCAAAAAGTAAGCTGAACTATGACTGAACTCAGAGGGCAATGAATTAAAGATCAAGAGAATTCATGGGCTGCGTGACTACTGCAATCATGTGCAGTAGACACTGGAAAGGAAAGGAGTCATTTGAGAGCGACGACCGTTGGGGAATGTTAATGTGCACTTGACCACATAGTTCACAGTGTGGACTGTTAATGGCCAAAGGCATTTTACATCATTACCTCTGTGCTCTTTTTATCAAGAAGTAGAGGTTATGAGGTAAGACAAAAGGAAAGATCCACTGTAAAGTACTGTAACATTGTTAACACATTGTTATTAATGATGTGAGTTGCATTTCCTTTATTTTGTTTTTTATTTCTCATTTGCATAAATGCTCTATGTCGATGATGTGATGTTGATTTGCTTTTTTGTAATTTGTTTTTTTGTTTTGTAAGTTGTTTTGTTTTGTAATTCAAATAGTTGAAATTTAGGAAATCGTAAATTGAAGTGACAGTAAAAACAAGCAAATTCCCAAACTTTTATAACAAATATTAAAAGTTCACACACAGTTATGTATAAAGGATAATGTGAATGAGTGATTGGAGGACATAATGAAGGGCACAATTTAAAATGGAGCCTACCTCTGGGCAGCAGGACAGGAAGGGCTTAATGTAGATGTTGGAGTCATGCACTTTGAGATTGTGGTCCCCGAGACCTCTGGTGACCCCAATGGTCGCTAACACACGAGCCTGCAAAAGATCAGACATATGTAAAGCACAGCCTCCATCGGAGTCAAACAAAACAACCACCAAGTAAATGGAGAGGCTCTTTCAAAAACAATATATATATTTTTACTGAACAAAAGACAAGACAGAGACAGTGGGTGTCTTAAGGGATATTTTAAGTGTAGTGTTTTATATTTGTAGCTTTCGCCGTCATTTCAATCGGTCATGATGCTCATGATCTGTTATATTATAATAATATATCATATATCACCAAAGTAATGCCCACAGCTACAGTGTGGCAAGAACAGTGAGTTGAAACTGAACCAGGAAATAGGTCTATAAGGACAGTTTGGGTCATAGTTTTACTGTTCACACATTAATTTCTCTTCATTTGGCTAACTTGTTTAAAACCAGTCAGTTAGTCTCACTGCTTGTGTTTCTTGGCCTGTCTGTGAGTCTACTGCATTAATCCCTGATCATTGTAAAGAATAACCTGCATGACACACCCCTAGCCACATTTCACTGACGGATACAGGCTACTCCCAGTGGGAATCATTATCTGGATGGATGAGCAGCATTTAGGGCAAATAAACACAAGCTCATCGTCAGCATCTTCCAGTTCTGTAAGTGCCTAACGATCGTTCCCTGAGTCCCAGGCGCCATCAAACTCATTTGTAAGCTGTACAAAACTCTTTTTGACACCTACTGTCTGCACAGATCGCCATCGACGCTTCTAAATATGGCTGCTGGCACAGGACGGGAGAACTGGGCTAATTGAATCTACTGTACAGCGTACGAGATATGGAGGCGCATAAGGATGGGGAGAGCAGTACGAAAGGGTAAGTGAGGCCTGCTAGGAATGAGCCTGGATCAGTATGCAGCACAGAGAGGTGGATAGAAGGGAGAGCGTTTCAAAGTGGCGGCAAAGCTCCTCCGGCAGAGTAGGGGAAACATCCTGGGATTAATTGTTGAGCGTTGGGGCCCAGCAGGCTTCGCGCCGGGCTTTGAAGTGCTCTGACGTTCCTCTCCCTCGCACAAAGCCCCCTTGCTCTATCTAGCCATCCATCTCTGTGCCTTACTTCAAAGGGAGAAGACGCGACGTGGGCACGGCCAACTGTGCAAGGGGTAAACCCGAGTGTGGTTGCAGGCAGAGAGCACGGTGAGGTGACATCTGCCCCAGTCATCAGTCTAACATAAATCTACAGTTTGTCTGTGTTAAAGAAAAACTGGAGAAGGCCACAGTGAGAACATATTCACATCTATCATGTTTCTAATCTGACCTTTTCAATGCAACATGGACAAGGTGCCACACACCACCACATGTGCAGCATCACTTAGGGAATAGGAAATGTCATGAACAGTGTGCAGTGTGCTTTTGACCTTTTCTTGTATCAAAACACTGACAAGATTCTCCCGAAAGTCAGTGTTTTAGTGACGTAGTATTCCGTAGTATTAACATATGTGACTTTTTGGACACTTTTCATCTGTCTTTGGTCACATTTTCATCCTCTAATGGGTGCCCCCGATGGGAGTCCCACCTTTGACCCCTAGCTGTGTAAGTGCTACATTTCTACCCGCTGAGGGACATAAAAGTCCATTAGAGCAGAGATATTTTCTGTGCCGTAGGTTAGTGCAGGATGTGAATCCTTGTGGAAAAAGCGGCCATGAATGCTTTCCACTAGCTGGCTCCTCCGCACAGTGACAGGGGAGGATAGGGGGGCTGGAGGTGCTAGGGGCTGACTAATGGTGCCCTAGCGAGCTTTGATTACAGGCGAGGCGCACAAGGCCGTGGGAGTAACTCTGTCAGCAAGTAGCCGCCAAGCACTTCTTACCTTCTTCCCTTCACCGTAGATCAGGGGAAACTTTAGGTCATCGTCCTCGATGGTTTTATACGCCCTGTGCAGAGGAGAGAGGACACTTTAATGGGTTTTTGGTTTATGGCAGGCAGCACACATGTGCCCTGGAGATACATTGCCTCCGTGCACCCCCAGTAGGCCTTGCTGCTGAGGTGACTGGCACAGAGAGAAAGAGTATGCTAAGAGGAAAAAGAGAGACGGTGAGGAAAAAAAAAATCCTCCCAGACATCACACAGAACGACACAGAGCCTTAGCATATTTCCCTCCTTTTTTTCTTTCTAACGGATCTTGTAAAAGTCTCCCTAGTGACAAAGAGTGAGACGTCTATCTCTTGGATTACTGTTGGTTTTCTGTGACTGCCTGCTGCAGTTGTGTGTGTGTGTGTGTGTGTGTGTGCATGTATGTATCTGAAAGCCTGCATGTAAAGCAGCTGAATGATGCAAAAGTATCCACGTTTACATTCCCCTGCTCTCAGAGCGGTGTTTAAACTTTCCCAACTAATGAATAATTTACCATCTTCAGACTGGCACCAGCCAGAGCTGCAGTATAAGGAAAAATACTGTATGTATTCATGCCAGGTCTTAAGATACACTTTTCACCTCCACAGCTTAGAGACATGCTTGTAGTGAGTATAATTTTCACCCATGAACAGTTTTACTTCAGAAGAACAGCTGTGTCACTATATAGTATCAGAAACATTACAAATCTGAGCCCATTTCAGCAGAGCTGCCAGGAGAGAGTTTTCCATTCACAACTCACATCAGGTGATATGAATAGAAAAATCTAGCTCTGTTTGAAAGAGTTGTTACCTGGATCAAATAACATTTAGTACATTTATTTTAGCCTTTACAATGGAGGAAATGAAGGAACAAATTGTTTGAAATGAATGTAGAATGCTTTTGACAATAAAACAAACACAGATGATAACAGCTATCTGGTCTAAAAAGCTGCTTAAAAAAACCTAAAGTGCAGATATCATGTGACCCAGGCCTGCCACACACCTTATCCAATGTATTTCAGCTGCTGTGAAGCAGATTAGCAGGGACTGGGATGGTTTTTACATTACTGCTGGTTCCACTCAGAGAGACCATATGTTTCCACCTTAGGCGAGCGCTATACTGCTGTACTCAGCACTTTTTTAACAGTGTGCAGAGCGAGGACTATCACAGAGAACGCAGCCCACAAACACAGAAATACAGTTTGCAACCTCTTTTGAGCAGAGAGATGTAGCTCAAAATAACGGTGCGTAGAAGAGTTCCTTACTAATGTTTGCAAATATTTATGGTGTGGAGAAAACCTCTAAAACAGCAGATTAATTATTTAAAAGTTAAATTCAGCATTAAAAGAGGCATTAATTGAAGTAGGGCAGGTTAAACTCTTAACCTCTCTATTTAAAAAAAATAGGGAAATACTATTTCTCCTGTCATATCACTCCAAACTTCTTTTATTTGAGTATTTCACCTTCAAAAAGTGTAAGGCTCCTAAATAGAAAACTACCACACTGAGACACACACTTCATGTCATATTTCAAAGATATCTTGGATGAAATCCCTAGAGCCCGCTGTCGGGGACACACTCCCTCTCGAGACTTGTGTTTACAGCGAATCCATCCTGTCAGACTTGAGATAACAAGTGTGTGACAAAAAGAGAGAGATGCACATTAATCCTGTTATAATACCTGCTTCCTGCTCTGGGACATAGCGTCCAAAAAACGACGGCGTGCAGAGTTGCTCAACGGCCGTACTGTTTGACCACGACACTGAGCGCTTTAACATTCAAGGGGACTGTTTGGACGCCTGATATGTTGCAAAGTGAGACTGACTGAGAAAGGGTGGGGGGAGGGGAGAGGAAGAGGAAGAGAGGGAGCCAGGGAGGGAAGGAGGCGGGTGGTATCATCCTCTCTGCAGGTGACGGGCAGGAGAGGAGGGGAGTGATGTCATCTCTGCTCGGTGCAAAGAGGGGGTGACAGAAACATTAGGAGTGTGTGTGCTCAGCATCCCGATCTGTGCACAGAAACACACACACACACACCCAACGGCAAACATTGAGGTGACATTGTGTCGGGGCTTGTGTCAGGGCCTGTGTCAGCACCGGATGAGTCAATTGACAGTTGGGTTCAAATAAACTTTTTAGCCAACCTTAATGAGCTTTTCATAGATTGTGCGGTGCTTTTAAACGGCGGTGACCCAGCGACTCTACGCTGTATGCCTCGGTCATATCAGTGCAAAGGCATCATGGAAACAGAAAGGAAGAAGAGAAGGAGGAATAGGAGAGGGAGTGAAAATATATGACAGTGATGAAGGTGTGTGTTAGTCTCCCTCCTCTCTCATTTAATGTCTATAGGATCAGGGGGAGGACAGATACCGTAGTGGGCACGGGCACTAAATAGAGACAGCTTGAGCACCATTCATTGTCATTTATCATTGCCCTCCTATGTGGTCTGCACACCATCTTTTTTTCATATATTTTTTTTCTTTTACTTCGCTTTTCCCTCTCCTCCTTTATGCCTATTTCTATCTTTGAAACGTACCCCGGTCTTCTTTCATTTCTCTCTGTCTTTGAAGCAATTTTCTTTCTCATTTGTCCTCTCTGTCCTCTCCTGCCACCCACTGTCTTCCCGACCTTCCCTCCGCCTGGCTGGCTGTGTTTTTATGTGGCGTTTGGATCATGTCGAACACGGCCGACCGCTCGACATCCATCACTCCGGAACGTATCGCAAAACAAAACCGCCCGCCATCCTGGACAGCGACCACCATTACAGTTTGCAAGGCCAAAGCCAGCTTGCGCTTTAGTCCAACTGGCCGAGGGAGGGGAGGTAAAGAAAGCGAGGGATGAAAACAGAAAGAGGTGGGCTGTGGACCTGTATGCCTTTATTAGAGCGTGGCCTTGATCATGGATGCCTTTGAGGGAATTGGATGACAGCTTACACCCACACATGCACAGCATGTGGGCATACTGGCTGCTCATAGAGAGTGTACATGTACAGACAGAAAGCTGCAGAGACTTAAAAAAATAGTCATTTGTACCTACAGCATTTGAGCTGCACCTATACAACGTGACACACTTAAGTCACACCCATACACATTAATGCAATCAGCCACACCAGCTGATAGGGTAGACCCAGACTTAGTCCGGGTGTAATGTGCATAACAGGGTTATGGGTAGAACCTGATTAAAAATACATTACAGGACGTCTTCATTGCTGAGACAGTAAACAGGCAGACAGCAGACTGAGAGTTCTGGGCCCAATAAGGAACACAGCCGCTGACTGACCTACATCTGCTGAACCGGCGCTGCAAAACGCAACCGCACGGAGGTGCTGTCAGGAAACATACTGCTCATCTCTCCTCAGTCACCTGCACCTACCACTCATATATCTATAAGTGTATACATATGCATAATACAGTTCCCTACAGGGGACAGACATAATTAAAACACTTCTACAATTCAATTGTGAAATAACTGGAGTGAAATCCAGTGGTTGTAGAACTGTATTTAAGCACAACTTGATTGTTGCTAATGCTACTTCATATTTATAATCCACTAGGCAAATATTGTTCTTGTTACATTTATCTGATAACTATAGTCACTAGGTTTATTAGGAGTTTAGATAAAAAACATATGAACAATATATAAAATATACAATATATTCAACCTCCCATATAAACTACTTAAAATTAGCTCTACCATAACCAGTTAACCAGTATGCATCAGTAATAACAGTCTACTATAATAATAAAGAATATAATTTGATACTTTTTGGCACATTTGGAGGAAGAAGTACATCGTTGAGAAATATTGAAAATTGTACTGCAGTAGAGATACAAAAGTATTATCAACCAAATATACGTACAAGTATTAAAGGTAAAGGCACTCATTATGCAGGAAGAAGGCCAATGTCAGTGGTACATTCTAATATAATATTGGATTATTATTACTGATGTATCAATGTGTAAGCAGCATTTTGATGTTGACGCTAGTGGAGGTGGAGCTAATTTTAGCTAATTTACATACGGCTGTTTATTGACTGTGTAACAATGCAGTATATTTTATATATAATTATATATAATTCTTAATCTGTAAGGGGATTAGCTGTTAAATAAATGTAGAGTAAAAACTATATATTTAATAATATTTCATTGTGCTATATAGTGTAGTAAAAGAAGCATAAATCCAAATAATCCAAATATTCAAGTACAAGTACCTCAGAACTATACGTAAATATATTCTTCAGTAAATACACTCACTACTGTAACATACTGTAAGTAACACTTTAAATACATTATCATTTACATGTGATGGAGTATTTTCTTCTATACCAGGGCAGATCAAAAGGGTGGCAGCTAAAAAATGCCTGGCCACCCCAGTTTGGTGTCAAATGTTGTCACATTTTACACATTTATTTAGATTATTTTAGGCTTAATTTTAATAAAAAATACATATATTTGGAAAACATGTCTTAAGATTTGGAAACAATTACTTGAGGGCATACTTGATGAATTATTAATACTGATTTCTAATGCCACCCTTAGATATTTGTATTCAATGCTTTACTAAACGTGCCACAATAATGTAATGTTTTTAAGTTATCATAGCTTATCCATGTAGGCTATCTTTTCCAAGCAAAAATTAATATATGTGATTGTTTGTGATTAAATCAGCACAAATTTCTGCCAACCCTTAGAGTCTGCATGCCACCCTCTTGCCACCCCATAAATATTTCTCTAGATCCGCCCCTGTTCTCTACTATATTTTCTCTCGCTCTCATATTTCCATCTGTTTCTCTGTCTTTATGTATTCTCTCTTTTCTTCCTCTTCACACCATCTCTCTTTTCTTCCTCTTCACACCATCTTCCTCAATCACTTTTTTTTACCTCTCTCTCTCCACAGAAAGATAAAGAGCTGGGTCCTTGCTGTTCCCACAGATTCCTTCTTACCTTCTTCTCACACATACAGGCAAAAATGTCAAGGCCACTTCCTGGCCTCGCTCTGACAGTAAAGCTTTAAAAAAAAAACAATTCTTCACACTGAATAGGATAGTGATTCCTATTATTGGCTATTTTCATTAGGGGGCATTATAGCAGATCACTCAAACAAAGAGAATGTTACAAATGAATGTTTCAGTGAGGCAAAATTACATGAAGCAAATTTCTCTCTGAGGGCTCACAAATGGATTCTACTACATACACAGGAAGTGTAAGGTAGTAAAACATTTAACAGTTTTAGCATTAAATAATTGAGCAGGAAGGTAGAGGATAAACCTACTGTCACACACACTGAAGAAAAATGCAAAATGGGAAAAAAAACAGTTTGCATGCTGTGTCACTTGCATTGTACTAGACGAAGGTCCAGTGTGTAGGATTTGGTGGTATCTAGCAGTGAAGTTGCACATTGCAACTAACTGAACACTGCTCCTGTTTGTATTTGACAATCTGGGAATGAGAACAGGCTGTAAAGAGTGTAGGAGAAACTATGGTGGCTGCATTTGTCGCCCCAAAAAGGCCCCATCTACAGTAGGGCTGCACAATTAATTGCCATATTATCTAAATCGCAATATGGCCAAGTGCAATATGCAAATCGCAGGAAGCTGCAATTGTTTGATAAAAGTGAAATGTGTGACAAAACAGCATTATAAATCAGCATCTATTGATAAAAACAGCTCATTCTAATGTAACAAAAACACAACAATTCTTATTTTCAGGTGATAATACATTAATGAAAACATACTTATGATATTATATTCATTTCTGCCAGTAGATCCTCCCTAAATGTTACACACTGGACCTTTAACAGATTAATTCAATAAGTAAATCAGTCCAAAAACCATTAAATCATTTAACCCACCATCCCGCCATGGTGAAGTCACGGTACAGCATCCTCTTCCCCACCTCCTTTCTCTGGACCCTCCTCGGGAATTCCAGATGCGTAAACTCGTTACCTAATAAGTGGGGCTGCATGTAGGCCTTTGATATGAAACAAAAGAAGAAAAAAAACAGAAAAAGAAGAAGATTGACATGCCTGAGGGATAGGAAAAACAATTCCATAGTCTATTAAGCTGACAAAGAGAGCAGGCAGTGTAAGAGAGACAGAGCTAAGCATAGCCGCTGTCTCAATGGGAGGGGAGGTCAGCTCTGCTAATATATGACAACTCGCTAGAGAGTAGCTGAGGAAGGCTCTCTCTTACCAGGAACTGCAGTCGCCGTCTCTCTGACTCTGGCGTGAACTCTGTTGACATGGGGATGACTTCCCCGGCCCGGATAATGATAGCTCTGAGGGAGAGCAGCAGACAAAACAAAACTCTGTTTATTCAAGTTGAGACACTGTTGCTCCCGCTGCCTGAAGGGCACCCGAAGGTAAGCGACACAGAGAAGACACCTAACTTACATATTGGTGTATATGAGTGTGTGTCTCTCACCTGCTGTCCCCGGCGTTCCCAACGTAAAGCTTCCCCAGTAAATAGACGACCACCAGAGCAGTGCAGCCACCCGAGATGTTGTAGACTGCCTTCTCCTTTTCTATCTGCACATCCTGAATACAAACACACACACACACACACAAATTAATCTTCTTATGAGAGCACATACCTAATACAAGTCCATCCTCTGCACATAATCATGTTTTTAATCATCACAGACTTCAAAAACTTTTTTCCTATTGCGCAGCGGCACATAGCATTTAAGCAAGAACCCGATAGTGAATAAAATATTGCCCTGAAACTTAAAAGCCGGCCATGATGCTATTATTAATTATAGCAACATAATGAATTCATTTATCAATAGCACCACGAGTCAAGGAGCAATAAAATGGAATGGAGACCAGAAGGATTGGAAAATTTGAAGGCACCGCTGGTTATTACACCAGTTAATTAGCCCAGATTAATTTGTTGCTAATTAAACAAAAGAAATTATTTTTAAAAAAAAGCCATGCTATCAGTTCATTAATTAGAAGAATAATTAACCTGTCAGCGAATTAATCAAAATGCTAACATAAATTTTAACAGAGCTGCTCGCACTTGGTTTAACACTTTAATGCTTTCCATGGCTACTGTTGGTCTGCAGTTAAACAGCTCCTGAGGGACCTTTAATAGCAAAACAAAAGCGGGAAGTTATCCCGGGGAAATGGATGACCCCTCTAGCGCCTCCCTCGCATCCCTCTGTCACTATCAAGAGATTAGTGTGGGATGAAATATGTTGGCGAACACATTTACAGCGAGGCCATCCCTAACATGTTTTCCCAAGAGGGATGTTACCCCAACTAAATCATATTGCCTTCTGCTACGCTGCTGACGACCTCCATTTGATCACAACTCTATCAATGTGTGTGTGTGTGTGTGTGTTTGTGTCTGGAAGCAAAGTGTGTATATGAAGGAATCAATGATGAGACTGGATGTGTGTGTATGACTTCATACATGTGTGCGTTTGTGTACATTTTTATGCAGACTGAAATAGTGTGTGTGTTTGGATGCATGCACTCCATCGTCCTTTCCAGTTACCAAAAACATACACACCACTGTTGCTGCTACACACATTAATCAGGAGTGAGAGAGCATGACAGAATATAGAGGATGGATATGTGTGTGTGTGTGTGTGTGTCAGGGGGGTGAACAAATGTGTCCTTCACCCCAAATGAAATATGAATCCATAGTGAGCCATACATATTTATCCTCGCTGTATCCAATACCTCTTGCTGCAGGCAAAGTCTTTAATAATGAAAATGTCTGCATAAACATCTACACCTTTCTCCTCTCCTCTTCCGCTAGGAATAATCCAACAACTGGTATAACTAGCAGGCAGAGAGGGAGACAAATATACACATACACACATGCAAAAACAATTTCTGCACTTCTTTAAATTAAACTCTGTTGTCAAAGAAAAATGCTACGAGGTATGACTGACAAAGCAGGAATTGCCATATGAAATCACTCCTACATCAGCGATCATGACAAAAATAAGAGACGTAATCATCAAGTAAGTTAAAAAAGATTGAATCTGCCATTCTACCAACAAGTGAGAGGACAACAGAAGCAGAATACTTAAAGCAGAAGTAGAAGAAAAGGTCAGGGACAACTTAAACACCATGGACATCAATACATTGTGTACATTCATACGTCTCATCCCACAAAAACCACATAAACTGACTGAATCTTTATGCAGTGAAAGTTTTCTTTGAACAGAATCTCAAGGAACAAGCCCCCTCAAACACAGAAACATCTCTCAACACCTCCCATCCAAACAAACACTGTAGAAAGGACCATTAAAGAATAGGTATATTCTTATACGAAATTAATATAATAAGGTACACTTGTAGTACATGTGAGTAAATGTTTCATTGCTTGAGCACAAGTTATTTTATTCAACATATTGTGCTGTGAAGGCCACTATCTTCACAGCAGTTTTCTAACCAGCCTTCTTGCCAAAAACTCCCTTCTCCATGCTGTTTGCAGTGTTATCTGTTAGTGAGCTTGCAGAATCACTGACAGAGCCTGACTCCATCCGACCTAAAAACAGGGGGAAAAACTCAGAGAACAGTGATGCGAGAGAAAGAGGTTGATCGGGAAAAAGATGGAAAACTCTGATGATGGGCAGTGAGACAGGTAATTAACTGCATTAATCATTTGAACTAATTAGCCAAATCAGTGGCATATCAGCTGTTTTTTAAGGACAAGAATGACCTTTGGGCAAATTCTTTTCGAAAATCTGCTAATGCTCCTTTAATATTGAGCATTAATAATCCACTGCCAACACACACACACACACACACAGTCAGGCACCTGGCCATTGTGACTGTCAGTATTCATGCATTATTGGTTAGATTACAATTAACTACTGCCCTGACATAGACTGGCAACCTGACCACCTGCTCGTGCCCCACTTCTCACTGAATAAAATCTGTGATGGAAAATGTTAATAAATGTCACTAACTGAAGGAATACTTATAGACATTTTGGGAGATACGCTTATTTGGTGTCTTACCAAGAGTTAGACCAGAAGATCATGGCTGTAGTAAACATGAAGCTGGTTAGCCCTGGTTAGCACACAGACTGCAAACAGGGGGATGGTTATCTCTCAGTAATTAAAACTATAAAAAGTTATATATTCTTTCTTTGATCTGTATAGAAACCACAATGTAAAAATTACATGTGTCTACAGGGGTTGTGTACATGTGCACTATTACTCTTACTCTGCTGTTTGCCTGTGCAACCTTATGATGATAATGAGACTACGTTTTTACACGTTTTGTACAGATTATATAAATGAGATATAACGTGGTAAATACTGAGCTTTATAGGCAAGTCAGGCTAGCTGTTTCCTTCTTTCCAGTCTAGCAGGTCCATTTAAAAAAAAAAACCCTGCAGAGGTGCCTCTTGGATGCCCTTATGTTAGATAAAAAAACAATAGAACAGAATATAAAGTGCCCTCTAGGTTACCCTTCTAGTGGAGAAAAGACTGTAAATTGGCCTTTAGGATGCTAACCCTAACTAAGCTGTTTCAACATAAATGCAGCATGACTTTCTGGTGCCCCACTGCATGTCTTACTAACTTTTAGTTTTTTGCCCCTGCCCCTCATTCAGCCTGAGTCTGCCACTGATACTACAAATAATGTCTTCTATAAAGGTTTTACAGCCTACTGAAGATGATAATATGAGGCCGGTGACCTCACCCCCACTAATTTCTGTCCCGGTCCAATCAACTGTTTTGCTGATATTAAGCCTTTCCCTCTGCACGTTGTTTTTAATGTTTACACATCCCCAAGTGATTATCAACACACACACACACACACCGGCCACTTCCATGGGATGAAGTGAGTTGTGTCAGAGGAGAATTAAAGGCGGATCCCTATGATACAATACAGAGGCTCGGTGAACTCAGAGAGATTTAGAGATAATGTTGGAGATGATAACAACCCCTCCCAAGATTCACTGACATTTCCACATTTTCTTAAAGAATGAGCTTCATTTAAAAAAAAACAAAAAACGAGGGGCTTAGTAAAGAGCAGTGAGAGAAGAACATAGGCAGCAAAAGAGAAAGATACTACTAAATAATAATAGTAAAGCCTTGTACTGACTTCACAGTGTAAAACTGGATCATAATTTTAATGTCCTATGATCTTAATCTGCTCAAAACTGGATTTCTGTAGATTACTGCCATGCTTTTAACCAATTTTATTGTGACACTGTCCAACTATATGTTCTATTATTATTAGTAATAATTATTAGTAATTGAAACTACAGATCCCCATCACTGATCAACAGATCCTTATACAAGCATTAATTACACCAGCACGCACACCAAGCTGAGTTCCCCAACACACTGTTTCTCTTTAAATGGCCATGCAGTATGGTAAACATATGGCACACTGCCATCTAGTGGTTAAGAGCTGGAAACACCAGGATGCACTGAGAAATTGTGAGGTTGGCCTGCACTGCCCTCCATCAAGATCAAACTTAACCACCCTAAGTGAGCTCACCAAAGACGCAAATGTTAGCATTTTGCAAAGAGTTTGTGCTGTGCAGAATTGGGATGAGCAATACTGAAAGATAATTCATTGGACAGTGTCTCTTATAGTCAGGTTTACTGCTACAGGACAGCATGGATGATATTTGGTCTGCTGTAAATCACCAAAATAGCAATGGAAACAGATAGTATTATTTTATCTTTTGTTCTTTTATCCCACGAGGGTCTGTATAAATGTTCTCAGCTTCCGTGCTCAAGTTCCGTGGCCTCTGTAGTTTCCCCTACATGCTTGGAAGGGGAGGGTAAGGTAAACTGGTTGCAATCTGCAACTTCACCACTAGATTCCTCTAAATCCTACACACTGTACCTTTAAAGTCCTTTGCCTGTAAAATTTGCCAGCAGGCCTTTTACTGTCTAAATGGCAAACTATGAATTACTACCAGCTAGCAAGTTTGAGTTCAGCAGAGTGAAAGAGTGACTTTAACCTCTCAATGTAACTTTACATGGTAAAATTGTTACTCTTTTTCGCAATCCAGCAGAAGACAAACACAACAGAGACTGTTGATCGAAACCCTGATGTTGAAACTGAGGCCAGTGACCTCTTCCCCTTTCACTTGTCAGGCAGGCTAGCACTGTTTTGATTGGCCTTGGTCTTGAGCTCTAGGCCTTTGCATGAGTTAAGTCTCCAGCATCCACTTACAGCACGGCCAGATGGCTAGTGTGTTTGTGTGTGTGACCTGTAGAAGCTAGAAGGGTCCATCAACTCTGAGGCTGTAAGCTAGATGACTGACTGACTGACTGACTGACTGACAGACACCATAGGCTTTCAGTTTAACGGAAACAGACACATGTTACTTATGAATATGGAAAATGTACTTGGTGTATTAGCGTATATGTGTATGTTTTTTGTGTTGTTCGGTGGGATTTCTGTACAATTTACTGATCGCACCGCAACCTTATTCACCTTATCACCTTTGCCCAGTTGGTAAGACACCCGCTCATCTCTCTGGGCTGCTGAAAGATAATGACACTCTAGACAAGTTCATATCAACTTACAGCAGTACAGTAAATACCTAAAATACCTCAAATCTAACTTTAAATGATCAAATAACAAAACGGCTTGCTAGCTGTATAAACAGTCAGACAATCATCATGTTTTGGTGAAATACTAACTGTTTGAACATACTAATGACTAGCAGAGAAGTGGATCATTGTGGTTTGAGGTGTTTCTATGTGTGTTTTTTCTTTTTCCATTGCACAATTTGAATAAATTGTAGCTGACATAATTCAAGCTGACCACATCCACAGCACTTTATAAAAAAGATCTTGTTTGTAGTGTAATTACTGGGTTTAAGAAATGAGTTATGAAATAAAACAAGGGTGTTTATCCTATAAGGTATTCCTTGTATCCACAGGTCAACTTCAAAAGGGAAATGATCCATGTGTGCATGCTTATCTTTGTAAACTAACTGTGAGGCCTATGTGCATTTCACTTGACTGTCTAATTACACTGAATCAATATCAGTTTACTTAGTAAGTAATCAGAGTTTAATGGATGTTAGTCGTTAGATGTTAGGATGGAGTAACCAAACCGATTCTTCCATGTGTGCACTGATACTGATAAATGTGGCAGCCTGCAGTGTAAATGAATAGTAGTTTCCATGAAATTCTGCATACAATATGTTGTGGCAGTCTATATCATTGTGCAGTTTCACCAAGCTCTGTAAAGTAAATGGCAAATGCGTGCAAATAATAAACCTTAGCTCAACAAGTATTTGGTTTGAAGGCTTGCATTTAGCAGTGCTTACAGAAAATACTTACTTATTGCAGCTAAAATAGTTTTGTGTCTTTCTTTTTTCAGCAACTTCCTCCCAAGCAATGCAGCTGGAAAAGCTTTTTTTTGTTTTGAGAAAAGGGCATGACCAGTCTTTTTTTCCAAGTACACATAAAACCAGGGATGGAAGCAGCAAATCTGGGCGATTTGACAGAGGGATATCCAGTGTTCAATTCAATTCAATTCA